AGGGCTGGAAGCACCTAGAAAGTGGAAGCTCCAAGGTCTGAGCCTTGATTTTTCCATGCAAGGAAGAGCAGAGTGACCTCTCCACACCAGGGGGAGGTTTAATGAGCCTCAGCATTTTGCAGGGGATTAATTAATCCCTGCAGGGATTATTGGGAACAGGGYACAGCTCCAARCCCAGGATCAGCTCASCTCCTCAGATTTTTCTTTCCATCCYAAAAATGCTGTGCAGCCACACGGCCACAATTCCCTATCAGGGAATCAAACCCGTTCTGGGGATGGAGAAACTGGAGGTTGAGAACAACCCCAGAGCTCCGAGCTCTGGAGCTTCCTGAGGCACAGCCAGGGGAATTCTGCAGGAATTCTGCTCCAGCTCCCTCAGCAGCACCTGAGCCCAGCCTGGGATCAGGGACATCCCTCTCCTGCCCTCTCCAGGGGTCCCAAATCCTGCCAGGGTCACCAAGGAGTCCCTCCAGAAAACGGTGTCAGGGTGTCCAGAGCAGCTGCCCCATCCCTGGAGTGTCCCAGTCCAGGTTGGACAGGGCTTGGAGCACCCTGGGACAGTGGAAGATGTCCCTGCCCATGGCAGGGGTGGCACTGGATGATCTTTAAGGTCCCTCCCAACCCAAACCATTCCCTGACTCCAGGATTTCCATTTCCCCCTCATTCCTTCACTGATGCCCAACTTTGCCGCTGTCCCAGCAGCAGAAGTGAATTTAACCCCCAGCTGGAATTTCCCTCTGTCCCACCCTCAGGAACACTGGGAACACATTTGAGGCACATGGAAAATGCAGAGTGTTCAAACCAGACAGAATTGTCCAGATCCTTACTGCAGCTGGGATCCACGGGGTCTGTCCAAGGCTCTCCCCCAGAGCTGCTCCCACCTCTGCTGTCCCCACACCTTCCTGGAGAGCCAGAGAACGGAGCTGAAAGGAAAATTAAAGTAATTTTCCCCCCTTTTGCTGAAGGATTGACTCCATCCTGAGCTCTGCAGTGTCACAGAATCATGGAATTGTTCAGGGTGGAAAAGCCCTCAGAGATAATCAGGTCTGTGTCCCCAATTTCTCAGACAATCCCAGGGATGGAGACTCCCCCAGTGCCCTGGGCAGCCCCTTSCAGTGCTTTACAACCCTTTCCATGAAGAAATTCTCTCAATATCCAAATTAAACTTTCCCTGAGGCTGTTTTTCCTTGTTCCCTGGGACCAAATCCCAACCTCACCCAGCTCCACTCTCCAGGGAATTTGGGAGAGGCAGAGGGTCCCCCCCTGGAGCCCCCTTTTCTCCAGGCAGAGCACAGGGATTTGTTTTGACCATTCTGAGCTGCATTTGAGACAAAACCTGAATGATTTGTTTGTGCCAAAGCCAAGCAGAGGGAATTTTGGAGCTGGGCCCTTCCCGAGCTGCTGGGACAGAGCCATATCAGCAATTCCAAAGTCCAGGAATGAGAGATAAGGAGCCAGACACACCAGGCACGGACAGCAGAGAAAAGCTGGAAAAACAGGAATTATCAACTCCAACCCTCACTCTTCCCTCAAGCAGCAGCCCAGGAGAATTCCCCAGGCACAGCCTGGGGGGATTCTCAGTAAATAAGGAACATGGGGTAAGAAATTCCCAGAAAATGAGGAACATTCAGGGTAAAAAATTCCCAGAAAATGAGGAACATGGGGTAAAAAATTCCCAGAAAATGAGGAACATTCAGGGTGTCTCTGAAGGAAAAGATCCTTCCAGCTCGGTGCAGGGACAGCAATTTGGGATGCACCTTCCTAGCAACTCATCCTAGAATTTTTCACAGGGAAGCATAAAAATCCCCAAAAGAAAGGCAGGAATTCTTCCCCACTTTAATGGGGAGGAGGGACAGGGCCGAGCTTGGTTCAGAAACATTTCAAAGGTGAAAGAAAACAGCACCAAATATTGACACAAGGGAAGGGAAACATTCCAGAGGGGGAAGGGTGTTGGATGCGCGATCCTCCAGTGCCCCCAGCAGCACGGCTGGGAAAGAGCAGCTGAGCAGGAGGAAAAAGGAGGAAAATGAGGCAAGAGCGACACCCCTGGAGCGAGCAGAGCTTCCCCAGAGCTCCCGGAATGCTCAATTCCCAAAGGGATTCGTGTGCTGAAGGAGCTGCAGGATCCCCGTGGAAGTTGTGTTAATGTGAAGGGCTGCAAAGTTTTCCTGTGACCCTGCTCAGCACCCCGAAACACACATGGGATTAAGGAATGGGGTGGGTGGGAAAGGACCTAAAAATCCATCCCATTCCATCCCATGGATCCCATCCCATCCTATGGATCCTACGGATCCCATCCCATCCCATGGATCCCATCCCCTCCCATGGATCCCATGGTTCCCATCCCATGGTTCCCATCCCATGGATCCCATCCCATCCCATGGATCCCATCCCATCCCATCCCATGGATCCCATCCCATCCCATGGATCCCATTCCATCCCATCCCATGGATCCCATCCCATCCCATGGTTCCCATCCCATAGATCCCATCCCATCCCATCCCATCCCACCCCATCCCACTGTCCCAGGGTGCTCCCAGCCCTGTCCAGCCTGGCCTTGGACACTGCCAGGGATGGGGAATCCTCTGGGAAATCCATCCCAGCCCCTCCCCACCCCACAGGGAACAATCCCTCCCCAATATCCCACCCATCGCTGCCCTCTGGCAGTGTGACCCCATTCCCTGTGTCCTGTCCCTCCATCCCTTGTCCCCAGCCCCTCTCCAGCTCTCCTGGAGCTCCTCCAGGCCCTGCAGGGATTCCAAGGTTTCCCTTCCCTTCTCCAGACTGATCCACACATTTGTTTTTTCCCTCTCCACTCTCCCTGCTGGAGGAATCAGGGAATTCCCTGTAAGGACAAAGACAAATCCCTCCAGGTTTTCCCTGCTCACCTGGGCAGGAACAGCGACACTCGAGCACCTCCTGGAGGTGACACCTCCTCTCCCTCTGAAATGGAGCTCAGGACACCCCCAGGATTCCCTGATTCCCACTGGAGCAAAGAAATCTGGAAATACAACAGAATTACCACCTCAGTTCCCTGACACTGCTCGGGTGTTCAAAGGAACGGGAATAAAAACAGGAATTTAGGATTAAATCCAGTGATTTTTATTCCGAGGGTATTACTCCCAAAAGCACTCACTGTTAGGGATGAACCCCAGTTTTGGGAGAGTCGAGCCAGTGGTGCCAGGTCCAGGGAGGGGATTGCCCTGCAGGTGCCTCACTTCAGTCCTGGGGGGAGTTTTGGGTGGATTTTGGGAAAAGATTCCTCATCCAGAGAATGGTCAGGCACTGGAACAGCTCCCCAGGGAATGGTCACGGCCCCAGGAAGCCAGAGCTCAGGGTGCTGGGATTTTGGGATCAGTTGGATTTTTGGGTTATTCTCAGCCAGGGGTTGTAGCTGACAATCCTTGGGGGTCTTTTCCAACCATTCTATGATTCCATTATTTTGGAGTGCTTGGACAACACTCTCAGGCACAGGGTGGGATTTTGGGATATCCTGTGCAGGGCCAGGAGTTGTAGTTGGTGACCCTTGGGGATCCCTTCCCACTCTGGATATTCCACGGCATTGTGATCCTGGCAGGTTCCTTTCAGCTCTGGATCTGAATCTTTCCATGATTCTGGAGGTCAGGGAATGTTTGGACAACTTGGCCATCAGGATTTTSGTATTAATGGGGTTTTTTTGGGATGTCCTGTGCAGGGCCAGGAGCYGCACTTGAGRATSCTTGTGGGGCCCTTCCATTCAGGACATTCCACATTCCTTTTGGCATGTTCCCTGTTATTCCAGGGAATATTCTTGATACACATGGACAGCACAGGGGTAGCTCCTCAGACCCCACAAGATTGTTTAACACTGTCCCAAAAATCAGTCACAGACATTCCTCGCCTCAGATTCCCACGGGAAATCAA